TTTTTCCTGAAAATATGGTGCAGGTTTCTATTAGTTGTGTATTAATGCAACAACGCTATGTTTAACGTGGTTCCAACCGAAGGAATCATGGCAGCCGAGAGTGAGCTTCCTCTTGAGACCGGTCTTCGAGTTGATGATGCGGCTTTTGATGCTGCCAAGTCAATATATTCTCTTTAATTTTGTACCCCTTTTTTTTTGTGTAAAATATTAAAATACTAATAAAAAAAAGTAAAAATATCTTCTTGGTGTATCTCATCTCACTGTAACACAGTTGATATATTAACAATAAAAAATATATTTCAATAAATTTTTAAATTTTTTGACTAAAATATTTAATTAAAAAAATTAATATGTTTGAAATAATTTTTAAAATTTTTTACCACAAATGTGCAAAAAATTAAAAAAAAAAAAGATGTTTAGTATAATTTATTAACTTTTTAATTTTTTTATAACTTTTTAAATTTTTAGGGTAAATTACAAACTCTCCCTAAGATTTGCTTAAATTACAAATTACTCCTGCAGTTCTAGAAACTACATTATACCCCTAAAGTTTCTAATTTCATGACAAATAGGTCATTTTATTAATAAATTATCAAGTTAATTAATAATTTTTAATAATATTAAAATTTTATTTCAATTAATAATTCAGATAATTTTATTATGGTATAAGTGAATAGTTAGAAATTTTACTTTTTCAATTAATTCTATTAAATAAAAAATTCTGATAAGAAGATATTTATAATTTTGCAAATCATAAAAGACAATTCATATTTTAAACAAATCTCAAAAAATATATTTATAATTTATCCTAACTTTTAAGTATTAAAATTAACACCTTCCAAACCAGGCCTAATTGTATGTTTCGCAGTAACCACCACTTTCGCTTTAGAAAGAAGGATCGACGCACTTGCAAGACGTGACAAAGCAAGGTGTACTTTAATAGTCAAAAAAATCATCAAAAAAATTCCTTTTGTATGGTAACCAGGTGTCTTTAGCAGGACTTTGATTCAACCATTTGACTCACTCAGAATTTTTATATAGATTTTTATCCAAAATCTTCCATAAAAAACAATTACTAAAATCAGAATTTGGTTAAACATTTCTTTCCTCGTCTTTAAATAACAATTAACTATGTTTTACATTATTAGAGAGAGAGAGAGAGAGAGAGAGAGACCTCTTTACTTGTGAAGGTGGATTTTAGTGAAAATGATTCATAAATTAAAGAAGAGTAATTCTTGAAGATAACTAACACAGAAAGGGACATCAATCGGGCCTAGTTTCATGGGGGGTGTTGACAGCTTGGTATTGGTACTATGTCGTAATTGTAGGAACAAATTGCGTGATTATGTTAGTCCCTTGAACTTCATTTTTAAAATTAATTACATTCACAATTACAACATGTTTATTTAGATAAAAAATGTTAAACAAATAAGAAGATTTGAATCACTAATCTCTTAATAGAACACAAGAGTCATGATCTATTGAATTAGCTGTGTTGGTTAATAAACCGAAAGTTGTACTCTTAGGACATGTTTGTTTGGACGGACTGGATTAGCATTTCTATGACTAATAGTCCTAGAATTATGAATCTGTTGGATTATGTATCCTATCTTAACTAATAGTCAAGTTTAAAATAATTAGTCCGTACTTCAATTGTTTAACCAAACATCGGATTAATAATTTTATTGGACTATTAATCCAATCTCAATCTCATGTCTACCCAAACAAACATGGCCTTATTCTATTATCAAAATTTTATAAATAAACTATACTTTTAACCTTTATATGTTTAAGTTATAAGATGAACTTAACAATTTTGGAACATTTATCGATCTCCAAAGGTGTACACGTAAGAAAAATTAACAATAATTTGGACTGAAAAACCAAATTGACACTAAATTTAAAGTATAGGGAACAAAATAAAATTTAAGTCAAATTATAAAAATAAAAAATATAATTTATCCAAATTTTACTTTAATCTGTTTATTTTTAATTTTGACAGGGATCCAAAATTGATGGGGATCAAGATAATCACTGGACCACAAGGCAAGTAGCGCCTCACACTTGATTTATTAGATATCTTCTTGCATGACAAGTGATATCAATTTTTTTTTTTTTTTATAATTGTTCATGAAATATACATGATCTTACAAGTTGATCATGCAACTTTAGCAACAATGGTAAACCAATGGGGGCAAGGACAATGACACCACCAGTTCCATCTTTGGTTAAGGTTTCACACCAAGCGTCTTGGGTGGAGTCAATTGTTTCTCGCTTTAAAAATGTATCCCAACTATATCCTATATATGAAACTTATATTTATGTGTACTCACTCTATCCATTGCTTTTTTTACTTGTCTTTGTTACAATTTATAGTTGAAGATATAAGACCAAAGTGTTGCATTCGTTAGCTATCCAAAAAAGTTCCGTTTAATTTTTTTTTTTTTTTTATAATTTTGTGAAAAAAATAAAATAAAATAATTATGATTTAAATGTAATATTTTATTTTATTAACTTATTTTATTTTTGAGTGGGTTAATTTAGTCCCAACCACCTTGCTAAACAGGGAGTTAAAACTCTTATATGTAAATACAAAATATATCAAATTTTTACATTTTCAATTGAATAAAATCATAAACTAAACGGGAAGGATCGATTCACCTAATATGTGAACCAAGCCGAACTACATACTAAAACAACTAGACTAAACCTACCAGTTTGATCTGGACTTGAATGGATAGCCATTTTTTCAATTTTTCCCAGTCAGCCCTAACTCCAAGACCAATCCCAACAGGTCCTCATGTAAACTGAGCCCAGACTACGAAATTAGGGGTACATTAATATATTACCTTTATTCTACATTCATAACCCCATTAATTAAATAAATAAATAAATAAAAACTCAACATTCAAACATCAAACCAACCAAAAACAAAATATTAATCAACATATTCAAACTCTGACCGACCAAAGATAAAAATCAAGGTAATTTCTTCGGACTTCTAGCCCGCGGTTGAGCACCGTTACTGTCCCCTTCGAAACATTGTCTAGCTCTTATTTTTATTTTTTAGAAGAATATTAAAATGATCAAATTTTTGTACAGAATTATGTGACATCTTGCATATCGTTCATGGATTGTACCAATGCATAAAATGTGAGGTCCATTCTACCAATACAGTTATTGCACATCATGTAATAAACAATTTTAGAATAAATATGTGTATATATATATCGGTGATACAATAAAAAGCAACATGTATATATTATTAAACTCACATTTTGGCCCTGTCGGTTTCATTCTCAAAATACTTTTCTAAACATAATTTTTTGACACAATTTGCCAAAACAATATTTTTGTATTTTTTATTCAAAAATAGAAAACCAAACACCAAAACTGATGAAAATCAAATTTGTATGGTGACCTGATCCGATGAACCTGCAAAAAAAGGGGTGATATTCAAAAACCCTCCGATAATTAAGTTAACTATGTTGGAATAGAATAAATCTACAGAGAAATATTGAAAAGTGAGATTTAGGATTTAGAGTATTAATTATCTTATGCTTGTCCTCCCTTGACCTTTTATAAAAGGTCTTTCAGATGCCCACTTAGCAATGGTGAGCTCCATATTGTGAGTTGTGCGTACACTATATAGCGTTATCGAAAATAAGAGGAGAGTTGTGAGTATGATTGTCCATTTCTTCATTTTTCAAAAATAGAAAAAAAATAAAAAATAAATAAGGTGATAATAAAGAAAATATATCAAATGGGGCATTATTTCTTTTTTGGGTAATGAAATGAAAATAGATATCAATGAACTATTTTGTCTACGGTTCAAAAATAAATAAATAAATGAAGTATTTTGTCTGTGGGAAGGCACAAAAGCATTCAAGAATTTTGTGGCCCAGTGGGCAAAATAAATTGGGTCATGTGGCCCAGCAAGCCTGGATGAACTATATGCATCCTAATTTGGTTGTATGATATTCCAAGTCTGGTCCATGAGGGTTTTAGTAATTTCACTTTCAGTCCAGAATAGGTAAAGATGGGAATGGGGTTGAGTTTTTTTGGATTTCTCACTTAATTTTTTTAATTTTAAATTTTACTATTTTAGTGATATAATTTTATATTTTATCTTAATCTTAATAATTTGTTCTACTTGTCTTTATTCTTGACTCTACCCTATCAATACAAGTCCGAACTTTATATATTAAAATCGGATTAAGATCAAATACAATCATGTCAGGTAATTTTTTCATCCCTAGGCATTGTAGCCTAAAGTGCTCACAAGTCTTGAAGCTACACCCCAAGTCCAACTACAACTTGAGCATAGTTCAAACGATTGTATTTTAAAGTTCGTGTGGAGGAGTTTTGAGTTTGAACGAATTTTCGTTTGTGTAAATTTAACATATTAATGATTGGCCATTCAATCTTGTAAACTAATTGAGACTGAAATTGAAAAAAGAGATATGAATGGAAAGGAATAACCAATCGATGAAAGAACATGAAACCATTTTGTTTCAATAGAGGTACGAGAAACGGTTGAAGAGATTCTGTTTTCTTTGGATAGGCAAACCTAAAAAGAGAGATCCGGATGATGGAGACTTGAAGAAATAGAAGTCAAATAAATATAAGGGTCGTGAGATAAGTGCTACACTTAGACTATATTTGGATTATAAATTTTAGTATGAATTTGGAATGGAAAGGAAAATACAAAAGAAATAAAATAAAAATAAACTTATATTTTATTCATATTTTTTTTTTAAAATTTTTTATCTAAATTCATGATTTAAAGACAATCCTACTTAACTTTTATCCATAATTCAAATAATATCCATAAAATACAATGTTTATGCTAAGTAAAGAAATAAAAGGAATGTATTTAGATACTTCTTTAAATGTTGTAGCTTTACGAGGTGGTCTTGTAATTGAGATAGCCTCTCCTCTATATTTTCGTTTTTTTATATTTTTCTCGTAGGTTATAATTTGGACTTCTATCGACACTACTAGAAAAAGGACCTTTTGCTACTATATAATTTGCGACCACTTGATCAGCCGTCGCAAATAACCAATTTATTCCTCTTTTACCCGTTTTCCTTCCTTATATTTGCCCTAGTTTTAGAAAAATTAAAACACGGATTGTTCTCTCTCTCTCTCGCGTTACAGACATGCATAGCTCTGCTCTCTCGCTCTTCCGCTCGCCATTGTCGTCTGAAGATCTCCATCGGTATGAATCGCTCTTTCAATCTCGCTCTCTTTCTCTGTCCCTCAATCTCCCTCTCAATCTCTATCTCTCTGTCTCGCTGTCTCTCTCTCTCTCGTTTTCTTGAGTTCTCAAGCTTATAATATACTTGTCAATTTGTTGAATTTCAGGTGATTTCATTGCAAATTAGGTGATTTCATCGGTGTCTTGTGAGAATAGAAGTAAATTTGCAATCCTCAACCTCCTCTATTGCCTCTGCTTCTCTCTATCTGACTTAGGAAATCTAGGTTTTCAATTATTTGCAACTCTTTTCTCATATGAAATGTTTCTATCTATTTTCAATCTCTATCTTGATCTGAGAACTTGTTTAGCTCCTTATGTGATCAAATTGATCATAAACGTTTGTTTTTCCTCAAGTGAGACTTGAATCTCAGTTTGTTTATTGTGAAAAATGTTATAAAACGAGAGCAAAAAAATGTATTTTTATTGTTTTTTTTTTCCATTTTTTAGAGCCAAAAAAATACTATAACCAGATTCAGAAATTATTTTTTTCTTTTCTGTTCTTTTTTCCATTTAGTTCAGGAATACTGAATAAAACTGACAATTTTCCCATCCTTCTATCAATGTTATAGCGATATAGATACACATTATTTATATAATGCTTCTATCAATTTTCCATTGTTTAAAATGCTTGATTTTGCTGATTGTTTCCATTCTAACTTGAACATCTGCATTCCGTTGTGTCCAAATTATGGCTTTTTTCTTTTGTTTTTTTTTTTTTGCCCATAAATATGATGTTTGTGCTGAAGAAAAATAATTTTTTAAAGCTTTTTATATCCTTTATTTTCATTTATGGGAGGGAAGAAGAAAAATAGTAAATAAGGAAGCAATTCGATTAGTTTTTGTTCTACGATTCATAGCCACGTGGCATTTCTACCCGGTCTATGAGAATACGGAGTGAATTACTCATATTTTTGTAATATGAAATATAAGCGTGGGGATGGATCTAGTTAGAAAACATTTTTTGTACCCCTAACGAATAATTGTCAGTCTCAAGTATGTTATTGCTCTCAACAAATTTCGTATGTGGTGAAGAACAACCACTTATTGTGTTTGTGTATATCATACAGCAATATCTTTCAATCCAAGCCTCTATGTTTGAAAGTTTTGATAGGAAAATTTCCGCATATTGATTTCATGACTGTATCGGGGAAATATAGCATGTTTATATTGGACGAGAAAATTTAACCATGGCAACAATAGCCCCAATGCATATAGCTATATAAGTAAGATTTGATTGATTCATGTCTCTTTGAATGTGTTATTTTTGTAGATGTTGCAACACTCTATTCATTATTGGCTCTCTGTTACCTCGAATATATTCTCTAATGAAGTTTCTGATATGATGGCAGATATAGTGTTTGCATGGATCCACTGATGGACTGGACAGTATGTTTTATGCTCATCTTTCTGCAATAACTACAGTTTCTTCTTGATGATGTTTTGCCCTAAAGTTATATTTTGAGCTTGTGAGTTTTGGAATTATAATGTAAGTGTGAAAATTTTGTTTGGTGAATGAGTTTCAAATTGAATGAGAAATTTTTAATGTGGCATATGATATTTGATACAAAAATATACAATTCATAACTAAACACACAACTCAAAATTCTATTAAAACTTATAAAAAAAATTTAAAAATTCAAAAAATATTTTTTAATGAATATATAAAAATTAACATGTGTCAGTTGCCACAAAAAAAAAATTGCACTGTTCCGGTCAATCGACTGAACGACCGATTAGTCCAAATTTTCCTATCTTCGACCGAGTTTTCAAAAGTGAGTGTGTAATTAATTTTTGAAACCCATAACTAAACAATATCTACAAACTAAGAGCTGAAATCACAATTCCAAAACTCTTCCAAACAGAGCCAAAATTCTTGGGACCAAATTATTTTATCTCTAAAACTATATTTATTAATGACATTTTAAAATATTTGTTCTTAAATTCTTTTTCTAACTTTTTAGGTGAGATTTTAGCGACTATCATCGCAAAAATAAAAATTAATTTCTAAATATTTTTTACAATAAAATTTGACTTTTGGTTACAAAAAGTATTTCATCCCTAAAATGCATGTAAAATATTTATAAAACTTATTTAATTTGTATGAAGTTTTGCTATCAAATTGATAGTATCAATACTAAGAACTCAAAATAAATTAATAAATATTCTACACAAATTTATATGATTGCTGCTTACATAAATTTTACACTCATATTAATATCATTGTATAAAATATTTAGATTGCGTTTGGTAGAGTTTTGTAAATATGATTTGAGAGTCTGAGTTATATTTTGAGTTTGTGAGTTGTGAAATTATAATTTGAGTGTAGAAAATTTATTTGGTTATGATTTTTGAATAGAGTGTTAAATTGAGTTTTGAATTGAATTTTGAAAGTTTGATTTGACATGTGAAATAAAAAAATTTGTTTGGTGATGAGTTTTAGAAAGAGTTTTCAAAACTTAGTTCAAATTATTATAACTCATAACAAAACACACTACTTTCACACTATTAAAAATTCTAATCAATACTCATAACCAAACTCTTTTTAAAATTCAATTAAAAAAATTTATTATTAACATAAAATAACATTAATCAATTTTCTAATTGAAAATACTACAAAGGAAATAATTTTTTTTTTAAAATAAGTATTCAAAAAATTTAAATCATAAATACATAACCAAACACATAACTCGAAACTCCATACTATTTTCAACACTCTACACTCAAATCGTAACCAAATACATAACAACAAAATTAAAATATTTAAAAATATTTTATAAAATAGAGTTTGAATTTATTTTTATAAAATATTTTAAATTTTAAAAAATTAAAATTGTAATATTTTGAAATTAAAATATTTAGAAATATTCAAAAAATTAAAAAATTAAAAAAAAATCGTAACATATTTAAATATTTAAAATCTTAACAAAATTAAAATATTTTTAAAATATTTAAAATATTGATTTGAATTGAGTTTTGAAAATAGTTTTGAATTATGTGCTTGGTTATGAATTTTGAAAACTAATAATTATGTTTTGAATTGAATTGAATTTTGAAAAATAAGTGTAGATTTATGATTTAGAAATTCAAAACAAACAATAGACTCAAATTAATAGGTAGAACTATGACTCGAAACTCTTACCAAACGGAATATTAATATTTCATTTTCATTCTAACAATTTTTTTTAGGGTTATGCTTTAGACCCAGCACCGCCAGCACTTTCGTGAGAGAGAGGGAAGAGAGAGAGGAGAGAAAACAAGGCCACAAATCAATTAGAGGTTGTGGGGTTCAAAATTTGGAGGGCCTCAGGTATTATTATTATTTTTTAACTATACGACACCGTAATTTGTGTGGTCGCAATTAAATGCAAACAATGCCATTGTACAATGGGTCTTGACCAATCGCTGTTTTTCCCAGTGAAGTATTTGGCACATGTGAGTGAATCAGACAAAAACTGACACACCAATGCTCAAATTTACATATTTAATATTGGTCTACCACTCGTACCATCTATAAGATATTTATAAATATTTATATTTATTTTAATTTTTTTTAAAAATTATAAATTATATTTTTAAAATTTTTTATAAAAATAATTTAACAATCTTATTACTAATTATAGTGTATAGGAGAAATTAAAAAGGGTACTACAGTAACTATATACGGATTGTATTTATACTTATTTGTATGAGGGGATTTTAAATGCTGATCAGGGGATTTTGACCAAATCAATAAATGTAGGCATGTAGAAAGACATATGGATTAAAAAAGGTTAATAAATGCTGAGTTTTTTTTAAAAAAAAAATTAAAAAATTCAGATTGAAAATATTGGAGCTCCACAGGCCTTGGGGGTTAAAAATCTCTTTTTGCTTAATATATAGTATATATATAGATAGATAGATAGATAGATAAATAGATAGATAGATAGATAGATAGATAGATATTGTTTTAAGATATTTTTTTAATATTCAAGATTATTATTTTTAGATTTTTATAAAAATAATTTAATAATTTCATCACTAACTATAGTGTATGGAGAAGCTGAAAAGGGTACTGCTAATAACTATGAGAGAAGTTAAAAAGGCTTGTGGATTGGGAGAAAATCAATAAAATGCTGAGATTATTATTTTTTTAAATCAAAAAATTAAAAAATTAAGATTGAAATATTAAAGCTTCCACAAGACTTGTTGGTTAGAAACTCCATTTTCTTTATATAATACCCGTGCTATGCACGGGACAATTATGTTGGTTAGAACTCCCTTTTCTTTGTATTTGTTTTAATTTTTTTTAATATATAAATTATGTTTTTAAAGATTTTTTATAAAATAATTTAACAATCTTATCACAACTATAGTGTACAGAAGAATTAAAAAGGCTACTGTAGTAACTATACACATGCTGTATCTATAATTATTGTATGAGGGGATTTTAAATACTAATCAAGAATTTTGACCAATCAATAAATGCAAGCATGTGGATTGAAAAAAGTTAATAAATGTTAATCAGGGGATTTTGACGCAAATCAATAATGCTGAGATTTTTTTTGTTTTAAATCAAAATTTAGAAAATTAAGATTGAGAGATTGGAGCTCCCAAAAGGCTTGGGGTTTAGAAACCCCATTTTTCTTAATATATTTACAATCTATACTATATATTAAGCAAAATGGGATTTTAACCCCAAGCTTGTGGGAGCTCCAATCTACCAATCAAATTTTCTGATTTTTATTTTAAAAAAAAATCTTAGCATTTATTAACTTCTCTAACTCTCAAGTCTTACCATCATAAATAACACTTTAAGGCATTAAGAACAAACATAAAAAATTCTTTCAAACATAACACATATGAATTCTTTTAAAAGTCCAACACATATGATTATTATCTCTCATAATAACACTTAATGCATTAAGAACAAACATAAAAAATTTCTATAAAAGTCCGACACATATGATTATATCAAAATATTAAACTTTAATATAATATAATAATAATAAAAAAAGACATTTAATTCTTGAAAAGTCCAACATATATGATTATTATCAAAATATTAAAACTTTATATAAATATAAAAAGGAAAAAAGAGACATTAAAAAAAAAAACATTAAAAATCACAATTCACATATATAGATAATTGTAAAACACAATCTGTGCATAGCACCGGGTG